ACAGGGGCCCCAGGAAGCCCTGGCTGTGGCATGGTGGAGCCCTGGCAGAGCCTTGCTTTCTGATTGTGGCCGCAGCAGGTGTACCTGGGGACTGGGCTCTGGCGTCCAGGGCGCCCCCTGCTGGTTGCCTGAAGTTCCCGCTGGTGGGAGAGGATGGCCAATGTCAGGAACTGGAATCCTTTTCCCCTGCTGCCTCTTGGGGTGCAGAAGACCAAGATCCTCCTGGGCAGGGCCACCTGAGCACCCCGCCTTGCCTTCTCGCCTTTCCCAGAAGCCGGAGGCTCCTCCCGGGCGCTGGTCTCTCCTTCAGCGACTGTCCGTGAAGGTTACCTGCTGAAACGCAAGGAGGAACCAGCCGGCCTAGCCACGCGCTTTGCCTTCAAGAAGCGTTACTTCTGGCTCAGCGGGGAGAGCCTGTCTTACTCCAAGAGCACTGAGGGTCAGGTGTGACTCCACGGGAGTAGGGGGCGTGACTCCAGGACCCTGCAGCAACCGCAGGTTCGGGGCTCGGGTCCGCCCCTGCACACACCCACCCTCCGGTGCCCTTCAGTGTGGGCACATCCTGGGCGTGGACCCTTGTGACCCTACAGGGTGGACCGTGCCCCTCACTCTGGCGACTCCACCGCTCGTGGGGAGCTGTCCTGGGTCTGGCCAGGCCAGCCTGACCACTAGCCTGTCTCCTCTCGCCCAGGCCCGTTCCTCCATCCCGGTGTCGCACATCTGCGCGGTGGAGCGCGTGGACGAGGGAGCCTTCCAGCTGCCCCACGTGATGCAGGTGGTGACGCGGGACGGCTCGGGGCCGTTGCACACCACCTACCTCCAGTGCAAGGTGGGCTCGCCCACTGAGGGCTGCGGGATGTCCCTGGGCTCCTCCTGGTCCCCCGTTCCCGGACACCTCCTCTCCCTCCACCTCCCCTCCCCTGCAGAACCTAAATGACCTCAACCAGTGGCTGTCAGCCCTGCGCAAGGCCAGCGCCCCCAACCAGGACAAGCTGTCCGCCTGCCACCCCGGTGCCTTCCGCAGCGCACGCTGGACCTGCTGCCTCCAGACTGAGCGCTCAGGTGAGGAGGCGGGTGGCCTGTAGGCTTTGCCTTCCCTCCTGTCCATCAGCAGGTGGCCTGCCTTTCCCAGGGCTGTTTGGCTAACCGTGGACAACTTGCTTCACCTCTTCATGCCTCAGCCTCCTCAGCTGTGAAATGGGGGTGAAAACAGACCTTTTAGAATTGTTTTTAAAAAGATGTACTTCTTTGAAAGGGTTACAGAGAGAAAGGGGATCTTCCAGCTACTGGTTCACTCTAACTGGCTGCCATGGCTTCTCTCTGGGCCTCCCTGTGGGTGCAGGGTCCCAAACATTTGGACCTTCTTCCTCTACTGCCTTTTCCAGGCCATGAGTGGGGAGCTGGATAGGAAGTAGAGCAGCCGGGACTTGAACTGGCGCCTGTATGGGATGTCGCATTGTTGGGCAGTTGCTTCACCCACTAGTGCCAGCTCTGTATTACACAGAACACTTAGACACTGCTGTATGCGAGTGGCGCCTAATCAGAATGAGTGACTGTAACCAGGGCTGCCAGCATGGGAGTGGGCATTTGGAGCAACTGTTAAGACATGCCCGGCCCCCCCCGAACACCTACATCCGGTACTGAAGTGCCAGGGCCATGTCCCAGCTCCACTCCCAGCTCCAGCTTCCTGCTGATACAGGAGACGGCGGGTGATGGCTCAAATGCTTGGGTCTTTGAGAGAGAGCCCACCCATGGGAGACTTCAACAGAGTTGCAGGGCTCTGGGCTTTAGCCTGCCTTGGCCTCAGTTCCTGCGCTCCTTTGGGAGTGAGCTAGTAGACAAAAGATCTGTCTCTCTGCCTTCTTTTTAAAAGTTTTTTTTTAAAATATTTATTTATTTTTATTGGAAAGGCAGATTTATAGAGAAAAGGAGAGACAGAGAGATTTTCCACCTGCTGGTTCACTCCTCAAGTGGCCACAATGGCTGGAGCCAAGCCGATCAGAAGCCAGGATCTTCTTCCAGGTCTCCTGTGTGAGTGCAGGGTCCCAAGGCTTTGGGACATCCTCTGCTGCGTTCCCAGGCCACAAGCAGGGAGCTGGATGGGAACTGGAACAGCCAGGACACAAACTGGTGCTCATATGGGCTCCAGGTCCATGCAGGGGGCGATTAGCCAAATGAGCCATCACTCTGAACCCTGGCACCTTCAAATAATCAAAAAACAAAACAAAACAAAAAAAAACCCAACCAACCAAACAAACAAAAAACACTGAGTATGTGCCAGCTGCCCAGGGGTACGCAGACCTGTGTGGGAACCATGATGCCATGTTACCAGTGTTAAGGTGAAGCTTTTGAGAATCCAGAAAACAACTTTGACCCAGCCTCGGAATGGGGGAGTCCAAGGGGCGGTTTCCTGGAGCAGGTGCTGCTAAAATGTGACCTGAATGGTACAGGTGTGATATAGGGAAGTTGGAGGAAGAGTTTGGGGTGAGCAAGAGTGTCGCAGGCATGAGCCCAGGCCAGGGTGAGACAGCATGGGTTTTAAGGGGTGGAGATTGTAGAGGCTCCTGAGGCCCGAGCCTGGGAGTAGAAAGTGGGGCAGTGAAGCAGGTCTGTCAGGGAATGGTCTGTCAGGAGGCAGTGGCAGGTTTGAGGAGAGAGCTGGGAAGCAGGAGGGTCAGGGCCCAGTGCCTGCTGGGCCATGGGGCCCTCTGTGGCCAACTAATGGTTCTCCCTCTCCCCCTCCCCCCGCTCTCGCAGCTCCAGGGTGCAGCCGCACACACTCGGCTGTCACCCTCGGGGACTGGAGTGACCCACTGGACCCCGACGCCGAGATGCAGACGGTGTACCGGCAGCTGCTGCTGGGGCGGGACCAGCTCAGGTGGCCACCCTCCCTTCCCTACACTGTGCACCTGCCAGGCAACCCCAGGGTGTGCACCCTGCCAGAGCTGCACAGCAGAGCTGGTCCTTGAGCCTCTTCTTTTCCTGGACCTGGGCAGATGCAGACGCTACACACAGAAAGCCAGTCTCCTAGGCTTGCCCTCAGCCTGGGCTATGACCCTTTCCCCTTTCCTGGGATGCAGGGCTAACCTGCCTGGACTCAGTTCTGGCCCCTGCCTTCGAGGGGGACTTTCAGCCCTCTAGCTCAGTTTCCTCTTCCGGAAAGCGGAGTGAGTGACACTGCCCCGGGGCGGGGGGTGCTAAGGAGCAAGCCGAGGACCTGTGGCTCACATCCTTCGCTGAATTTCCTGCTGTGTGACCTCAGGCCAGTTGTTTCCCTTCTCCGTGCCTCAGTGGTCATCAGCATAGGGGCATTACTTATGACTTAGGAGAGATCGGGTGATGGCAGGTGAAGATGGCTTAGCCGACTGTCTGCCAAGCAGGTGAGGAGGAGGATGGTGCTTCCTGAAAATCAGGAACCAGCCTTGTCTTTCTCTCAACTTCCAGGATGAAAGTCCTGGAGGAGCCCAACGTGGATGCAACTCCTGAGGCAGGCATGGGGAAGGGTGCCAGTGCCACGGGAGGTAAGGGGTTCACAGATCCTTTTGCTTCCCCGCCCAGGTGCCCCCAGGCCCTTCCCCTGGGCTGGCAGTGCCCACCCTGCCTGGGCTGTGTGTGTGTGTGTGTGTGTTACACAGCCCTCCCGAGCACAAGGTGACCATGATCTCCCGAACATGACCACCCCTTCCTCCTCCTCCCAGGAAGCTGTCCTGCTGTCGGTGCCCAGCAGAGGGCAGCCGCTGCCCACCTGCTGGAGGTGCTGTCAGACTTGGACAGAGCCCACGAGGAGTTCCAGCTGCAGGAGCAAGGAAGGTCTACCCTGAGTCACTCCCGGGTGCCCTGAGGAATAGCAGTGTGTCCTCGTGTCCCTGTGGCTGTCCTGTACCGCTCCATGCTGTGGCCTGCCCGGAGGCTCCTGGCATCACACCTGGCCCTGTGTGCCAAGGCCAGAACGTGGTGGGGCACAGAAGCCCGCTCCTAGGGGCCAGCCTCACACTGAGCCCATCTCCTTCTTGGGACGCGTCAGACTGGAGTGGACAGGATGGAAAGCCCATCCGCCAGACCACCGACAAGGCCAGGGTGGCCCTGAGCTTCTGGCTCCAGCTGCACCCGACTTCCCGATGCCCGAGTGGCCTGATGGCCCCCGGACAGGCACTAAATGGTCTCGGCCCTTCTGGTGTTCGTGTCTAAATCCCTCTGCCCCGTGCACCCCCCACCCCCGCACGCTGGCAGGTGCCTCTGACTCCCATCCCCTGGGGCCCCAGCTCTCTCCCTGTGTCTGAGCCTCGGCTGACCCAGTGGGAAGTGAGACAGGAGTGTGGGCTGTGGCTTTCACACTGGATTCCACTGAGGTGGGAAATGCATACACCTGGACCTTCCCAGCTATGGATTCAGAATCTGAGGGTCTGGGGCCCAGGACCCAGTCAGTGGCTTGGGTGTCATGGGTGAAGCTCGGATCTGGTCACAACTTTATGGCTGAGGGAGTGCAAACCTCAGAGTACACCAGTTGGCAGGACCGGAAGGGCCTCCAAGGACTCTTTTCTGGGTTTTGTATAACTGGCTACCGGCTGGGCAGTCCACGGCTACAGGAGCTGTACCACGAGTGGCCAGCAGGGGCCGGGATGAGGTGCAGCCAGCACTACAGCCACAGGGGTCTGGGGAGGAGAGACGCTGACTGGGAGACTTGCAGATCCAGGGGTCCTGAACTTGTTTTTGACGGGGGCGGGGTGTTCTGGGGTCCCTATGAAACAATCACAGTGCCTGTTCTCCGGGAGACCTCCGGCCCGAGTCCCAGCGCTGCTGGCTGGTGCATCTGCAATGCTGAGGACCAGGACAGAGCCACGCCTACCTCCTTACACTTCCTCCAATTCCGGAGCCCAGGGCCGCCCTTCTCTTCCAAGCCATCCTTCCTAGGTGGGCGGTACAGACTGGGGACCTCCCGCGAGCAGCACCACCTCCTTCCCCCAACACACACACCCGGCTAGGACAAGACAGGGTGAGCAGGAGAAAGACCATTTATTCCCCCAGTCACAATGGGACTGCTGGGTTTTCCAAAGAGCAGTGGCTGGCGTCCCTTTAAATCCTGGCTGATTGCCACAGAAGAGACAGCCAATCAACAGAGGCGGAGCTGGTGAGTTGCTGGGGCAACAGGCCCCTGGTTGGCTGGAGACATCAGCACTCCACTGTCCACTCCCAAGGAGAGGGAAGCTGATTGTTTGCTTTGGGCTCCTAAGCGAACACTCCCCCTCCCCTTTCCAGTCCCCGCAGAAGCTGTAGCCTTTGGATCTCCACGCTGGGGAACGCTGAGTGACAGGGTGGGATGAGGAGCAGAGCAGGTACCCTTACCTGGGACAGACACAGGCCTGGAAATGGCCGTGGGAAGGAGGGAGGGGGGAGAGACACAGGAGACCCCTCTGGCCCACTCGCCTGTCAGCCTGCTCAGGACTTGTAGCTGTCAGCACATCAGTGGGTGAAGCCATGGGAGGGGTACTGGGCTGGGCTCCCCAAGACCCAATGTGCCCCAGGTGCTTGAGCTGGTCTTGTGCGCACAGCATCCCAGGAGCACTGTCCCTACACAGATGAGAATCGCGGGGAGAACTTCCCGTCTCTTCTCCCCCTGCACGGGGGTTGGTAGAGGCACGTGGGTGTGCGTGCGTGTGTTCAGCAGGACGTGTGTGTATGTATGTATGTATGTATGTGAGGGCGTGGGGTGCCATCTTCCTGGGGGGAGGTCACTGTGGTTTCTGAAACTCTCTCTCTGCAGCCCCCATTGGAGCTGGAGAGCCTGGTCTGACTGCCTGGGAGTGTTCCCGCCCCTTCTGCAGGCTCCGCCCCAACCCTGAGCCAGGGCTACCAGGACACGCCCTGGCGCGGGGAGGCAGGTGTGTGCCATGTGCCAGGCCAGGGGCAAAAGCAGAAGGGAAGGCAAGCAGCCAGCCGCGTGGGCTGGGGTGGGGGAGCCTCAGGCTTTGGCCACTGCCTCGGAGACACCCTGGGCCGTGAGCTCGGCCAGCACGTTGTCCAGGTAGCTGGCGTCGGGGTAGCCGTGGCCCGTGAGGTTGGAGCCAAATTCCGTCTTGTGGTGGATCTCGTTCCACACCACGGTGTCCGACTCGCCCGTGGTGTTGGATGTGCCGATGGTGAAGATAAGTCTACGCTCCCAGGCCGTGATGAGCAGCCGCAGCACCTGCGGGCAGGTGGGCAGGGATGCTGGGAGGTGTGTGGGGAGCCCCAGGGGCGCTCTGACCCTTCCTGACTCAGCTAGCACAGACTAAGCCCACTCCTCGGGGCCACTTCCCTCCCCTTCCTTGTCTCCTGGCCCCTGTCAATCAAAGCCTTCCCCACCCAGGGTGTCCACCTGTGTCTTAGGGGATGAAGAAAGGGCCCCCACCCACTGGTATAGCTTCCACAGGAGCATCTGGCCTCCCCTCGGATCCCAGAAAGGAGGAACAGATGGTCCACAGGGTGGGGCTCAGCACTGCCAGTCTGTATCAGGGAGGGGCCAGGAGCAAGACTCCGGCTTGGGGGCTTGGGACGGGAGATGGGGGTCCCAGCCCATGTGCTCACTGCCGTAGGGAAAGGCAGAGACCTGGGGCTGAGAGGGCCTGGGGCCCAGGCTGTACCTATCTGTGTCTGATTGCCACACCCTCCTGGCCAGGCACTCACCTTGCGCCCCTTCTCGTTGTTGGGTAGGTAGCAGTGGCGTGGGAAACCTCTGGCGGTGAACTTCTTACCCGGGTTGGGGTGCTCGGGGCCCTGTGGGTGAGCAGGGGTGGGGAGTGGCAGCAGGGTCTCAGCCCCCGGACAAGGGTGGGAGTGGGTGCGGGCGGGGACGCTCACCTGGATGCCCGTGGGGATGTCATAGACGATTCGGATGGTCTGAGTGTCCGCAAAGCCTGGCAGCGAGTGGGGGATGAGGTGGAACTCCATCTTCCCCGGAGGCTGCGTGCCCGTCTTCTCACCGTAGATGGCCTTGCACGTGGGACACTGCAAGCTGCCATCCTGGGTGGCAGGGGTGGCAGTGGCCATGAGCACCCAGGGGATCCGCCCCAGCCCCAACTCCCTGCATCTCTGGTCCCCTCTGCCCTAGGCACACCTTGTTGCCGTTGGAGTACATGGCCACTAGGCACAGCAGGTGGTACATGTGGCCACAGCGGCCCAGACGGCCCACCAGCTCCGGCCGCACGCCCTTGTGCCGGAGCACACCCTCGTAGCCCGAAGCTGTGACCAGTCGCTCCATACAGATGGTGCAGTCCTGTGGGGGTGTCAGGGGAAGGAAACTTGGAACTAGGAGTGACGCTTAGGTGATGCCAACTGCCAGTCACCGGGGAAGGCCACAGCAGAGTGCAAGGGACTCTGAGGCCCTGAGATGAGGGGCCGCCCCTGCCTTGGGCTCACCTCATCAGGTGGGTTCTTGACCTTCTGCATGTATCGCCGAACCACGTCCTCTGGGTTCTTACCTGCGGGGACATGGTGGGGCTTGAGGGCGTCGTCCCCTCTCCCGCGCGCCCAGCTTGGCACAGGGCGGGGTCAAGGGTTAGCGGGCTTCAGGAAGGGTTGTTAGGTGCCAAGGGGGGCGTGGTTTACTGGGGGAGGGGTGAGGTTCCAGGTCTGAGAGGCTGGCCCTGCTGAGAGGGGGAGGAGCCATCGAAGGCGGGAGAGGGAAGAAAGGATGGCAAGTGCGCATGCAGGAGTCGGGGGAGGGGCCGGGGTCTGCGCGCGTGCCCTACTCTTCTTGAGGTGCTTTTTCTTGGTCTTGCGGCACACTCCGGGCACGCCAGGCACTGGCTTCACGTCGCTCTTGCTCACGGGCGGCGGGTGCAGGATGGGCTTGGGCGCGCGCGTCAGGCACACGGGCAGCCCCGCGGCGCACAGCAGGATCCCGGTCATGCCTGCGACGCGCGCGCGCGAGCCGTTACGGGGTGCCGAACCGCTGGGACCCCGCCATCCCACCCACCAGGCCGATTGGGGTGTGGATATCTGACTTCCCTGCACCCAGGGGAAGAGGACCTGGCCCCGCCCACCCTCCACGGGTCCGCCTTCCAGGGTCTCCCGGGGTGGAACCTCGGGGCTGATGGTCGGGGCCTCACCTGCTAGGGCCGGGTGGACCGGCCCGGTACCGTTCAGATTCTTCACCGGGAGCGCGGGGACCCTGCGGGAAGGGCAGAGGCCGCAGCTGCACCAGGGGACCCTGGCAAGACCGGATCTCCGGTGCCTATCACCTGGAGCTACCACCCCGACTCCCATCCCATCCCGCTCTGTGCCCCCCTCCCCAGTGCCTGAACCCCAACTTCTACGGATGATGCTGGTCTGGGCTCTCCCCAAGTCTGTAGTCCTGGGAAGGAAGGCGCTGGGAACAGAAAGGTTAGAAGACACCTGGCTGCCCCCTTTCATAGCCTCACCGCCCCCCTAAACTCACTAAGGGCTCTGATGCGTCCTGCACCTGGGGCTCCCCTCACCCCAACACTGGAGTTTTTCCTATTAGTTCCTGTGATGAAGCCGTGCACATCTGTAGATACACCATGTACCCCGGTAATCACAGCGGGAGAAAGGCCCACAGACACGCAAACCAGCAGCACATGACACATACATGCAAACACCACCCTCCCCACCCATGGCAGACACAGGCACACAGCAGAGAGCCCTCCACATCCTGACGAGGGGGAGCAGACACTGGGAGAGGTCCTGGGCGGCCCAGAGCCATCTGATCACAGGCCTGAGGAAGCAGGTGCACTGGGTCTCCTGAGATCCGGGGGCAGCAGGTCAAGTGCAAGGGATCGCAGGTGCCTGAGCATCCTGCTCCTGGCAGGTGGGGGTGGCATTCAGCTCTGTTCCTGGGGCTGCTGCAATCCTCCTGGGCCCTCCTGGCGGGGTGGGGAGGGAGTGTCCCCAGCCCCATCCCACTCTGCTTCCTCAAATGCCTCTAGTGCAGACACACAAAGGCCTTGGTCTCCTTCACCCACTCCCTTTAAAAAAAATAAAACTTCAATCCTTCTTTCTCCGTGGGACTCTCTGCACAGCGCCTGGCATGCCTTTACTGTCCTCTTACCATGCTAGACATCACTAATCCATCACAACACGCTCAGGCTGAATCCTCAACCAGCTCTCAGGCAACCTCTACCAATCTAAGTCTCTGTATGCTTCTCGCCCACTGGCGAGCTGGGGACAGTCCTGAGAGGCCCACCGTCTCTCCATCTGCAGGCCCCTGCGAGAAGGCTGGGGAGCAGAGTTCCCACGGCGCCGAGCGTGAGAGCTGCCCAGGGCCCCTTTTGATGTGGGCTGGGCCGTTTCCTCGGAGTGGCTGAGAACATCCTCCTGGCCGCAGGGCCTCCCGGAAGCAGGGCAGCTTTCACCCCTCACCCTGCTTTCTCGGGCCCAGCCTGGTAAGGGATCCTCCAGGTCCCCTCGGAAGTCAGGTGTGGTTCCCTCCCCCGCCCCCGCCAGGCTGGTTTCCCTGATGCACTGCCTGATCCTGTATCCCATGCCCCGTCACTCCCACCCTGCTTTGGCCCCTGCCCAGCCACCGTCCTGTGCAGTCACCCTGCCCTGTCCACTCTGCTCCAGTTGCCCTGCATCCCTGCTCTTCCCTACCCAGGGCCTGTGCACCTGCTGATCCAGCCTCAGGATGCTCTTCCCTCCTACCAAGGCTCACCTTCTCCTCCAGCTCAGGTCTCTACTCCAACAGCCTTGGATGGGAGATCTGACGGATGCCCCTGTGTTTGTCCTTTAATCTACTTAGTAGCATGGGTCACCTGCCATGGAAAGTCCTCAAGCAAGAATGGCTCCAGGCAGTCTGGTCCATCCCTCCCTCATTTCCTAGCTCCTCCTCCATCTTCTCAGGGATGAGATGACCTTGGGGAGCTTCCTTCCCTCTTCCCCCCCAGATCCTGAATGAAGGTACTCAGGTCTTGTGCAAATGCCACCCAGATAGAGACCATGCTTAGCCACCCCGTGTTAACTGCAGGTATTCAGCATGGGGGGAGGGGTGCAGAGGGAGGGGGGAGGTGGAGGGGAGGGGAAAGTGGGAGGAAGAGGAGGGAGGATCGTGTAGGATGCTGTGGGTAGATGCCCTATGACCACAGGCTTAGGCTCCTCCCCGCCCCATGGCACACACAGAAAGGAGCTGGAAGCAGGTGTCTTGGACAGACGCGCTCGGCAGCCCCCGTCCTGGGAGGTCCTGGCCGACACTCGACACTCGTCCTAAGGTGGGCGTGCCAAGGGAGAACTGGCAGCAATTCCCCGGCAGCGCTCAGGTCCAGCTCATGACAGCAGTGCTGGTGTGAGGTGCTGCAGACCGCTCCACTGGAACTGATTCTCTCACCACGGCCAAGAGGCCAAGGCGGGAAGCGGTGCCCGCCCAAGTCCGGTCTCCCCAGGAAGCTCCTGGGAGAGAGCCGCGGAACTGCTTCCCACTCCACCCCTGCCCTGCAGGACCTGATGTCCACAGTGTCCACAGGGTGGGCAGGGAGGTTCTGTTACAGCTGCTGTTCCGTACACTGTTCCCTGCTCTCATCTGAGTGCCTTCACCTGCCTGTTCTGAGTCTGCTCACACTGTCCCTCCCAGCGCATACTCAGGGATCTGAGTCCCGGAGGCCTGAGCTACCGCAAGCGACTTCCCCAAGCCAGGCAGCCCAGTGTTCTCTAGGTCACAGGCCGTGTCCACCTGCCTGCCTCCGTCATCAGACTGTGGGCTTCTGTACAAGTGGGTATATGGGTGCCTCGACTCCACAGCCACACAACATCTGATATGAGACAGATAAGAAATGGGGTTACTGGCACCCTGGTCACTTAGGGGGTCCTAAGAAACAGAGGCACATCTACATACAAGGTTGGGCAAGGATGTCAAGTCCACTGCCTCTCTGCTGTCTATGGCAGACATGACCAATCAGTCGTAGGTCTCCCTACCGCCCAGCCACGGGACAGCTTTACAATCACCCCCAACACAGAGCTCAGGGACCTTACTGTCACTATGGCAGAGAGAGTTCTGAGATGACGTCTGTCTGCCACTGACGTAGCAGATGATGGAACCCAGAGAGGGAGGAAGTGACATCATGGAGGTCACTCAGCCAGTTAGTGCTGCAGTTGATAACCACAGGGTCCTGGAATTTCTGAGTCACAGGCCATGGTGACCTCCACATCAGGCAGGGGGGCCAACCTCTGTGTCCTCCAGAAGCCTAGAGCCTTTACTTTGGGTCCTGGAGCTGGTCCAGTCCTGGGCACGCTCATCAGGGGCTGTGCCTACTCTGGCCACCCCAAACTCATCTGAGGGTCCAGGGCTGCCCTCCGGCTGGCTGGGTCAGCATCCAGCCCTTTGCCTGCCTCTAGCTTCCGTGGCCCTCCTCTCCTAGCCCCTGCCCAGGCCCATGCCTTGTCACAGCCTCTGAGGCCAGCTTCCAGGTCTCTGGATTGAATTCTGACCCCCCTCTCAAGAGACCTGGCACTGATCCAACAGCCCCCCACGGGCAGCCCTGGAGAGCTGACTTGGAGCCCAGGCTGGCGATGAGGGCGCAGAAAGTGAAAATGTCCTGCACCGGGTGGCAGAAGTTGGAGGGTGTTTTGGGGCCCCCACGCTCCTCCTAGAGGCTCCTGGGAGGTGGGGGCTGGGCCGGCTCCGGCCACCTGCACCCCTCCTCCAGCCTGGGCCAAGTCCCCTCTGCAGAGCCTGCCACAGGACACATCAACAGCAAGCCAGACCCCAGGACACGAGGCTGTTGGAACCTCGCTCTCCGCCCTTCCTGGCTCCAGCACCACACCCTGCCCCCATTTGCCATCCAAGCCTCTGAGGTGTCCAGGACCGGAGCTGCACCTCCCAGAGAGGGGTTAGAAGCAGTGGTTGGCATCTGGGGTTTGGATTTCTCAGTGGGGGATGGGGAGTCCCGGGGCTCTGCCCAGCCTGGGGGAGCCCAGGTAGCAGACAGGAGGGCTGGGGAGCAGGGCAGGGCAGGGCTTGGTTCCCACGGCCTGGGGAGGCCATGGCCACGTGCTCTGCAGTGTGTGGTTTGGCCTCCCAGGGAGCTGGGCAGGAAGTGCTTGGGGGTTGGAGGGAGGGTATGTTTGGTCTGACCCTGTGGTGCAGAAGAGGGGGGAGGGTGGGCAGGCCCCAGGCCTCAGGGGGACAGGGAGGGGCCCTTGTGTGTCTTCCACATTCAGCTGCTAACAGGCAAGAGAGCCTGTGAGCTCTTTCAAGACAGAGCATGGTGTGAAGTTCAACAGCTGCCTGGGGAGGAGGGGCCCCCCAGCTGCCCACCTCCTGCCCTGTGCTGCTGCAGTCCCTGAGGGCAAGGGGGCACAGAAGCCGCACCAGCATTCGCCCCTGCAGTTGGCAAGTGGGCACAGCAGCTGCTCCAGTGTCCTTGCAGCCGCTCCCCTCTCACACCTCCAGACACCAGAGCCCTCCCGGCTGCAGCCTGCAACCTTCGAGGAGGCCCCTGGTGTGTGAGCTGACCTGCTTTTTTTCTGACTTCCTCTGGAGTCACACTGGCTGGCGATAACACAACCAACCCAGTCCTGCCCCACGGCCTTTGCACCTGTGGGCTCTCCTCTGGGATGAAGGTGCCCCAGCTCCCTGCCAGGCTCGCGTCTCACCTCTTTTTAGCTTGGCTCAACCTTACCTTGTCAGCAAGGCTTTTCCTGACCTCTTCATGTAAAAAAAAAAAAAAAAATTACTCACTGTGGGGGCCAGCATTGTGGCACAGCATGCTACACCTCCACCTGCAGCACTAGCATCCCATCTGGACATGAGTTCAAATCCCGACTGGTCCGATTCCAAGTCAGCTCCCTGCTATGGCCTCTTTCTCTCTGTCTCTCCTCTCTGTAATAAAATCTGCCTTTCAGACAAAACCAAAACAGTTTTTTTTTTGTGTGTGTGTTTTGTTTTTCTCCTTCTGATGGCTTATATTTATTCCTCTTTTGGAGTTTTCCCCTATTGCAGCTGCGATTCCTTGCCATGCTCTGGAATCACTTCTTTGTCTCCCACCAGACGTGAGCTCCTAGGGGGCAGAGACCAGCCCTTCTGCAGTCACTGTGTCCCTAGGGCCCTGAACACTGCCTGCCACCCAGGATCTGTTCCCAAAGCAGGGATCGATTCTTAACAAGCAGATGAGCACACGCCACCACCAAAGTTAAGAACCCGGCAAGTGGGGCACGGGACACAGGCCAAGGGTAAACCTCTGAATGCGGGGGGCAAGTTTACAAATCAAAGAGCCCAGGCACAAACCATTGGCAAGAGGAGCAAATCCTAGGCCCCTCAAGGAGCAGAGAAGGCAGAAGGCAAATGACGCCTCCTTGGCACCTGCTGGGTTGGCACCACCCTGCATGTTTGCTAGCAGGGGGTGGGAGCCAGGGTGCAGGTATTGCACAGACCAGAGAGGCCCATGGGCTCAGCTGGGATTACACAGCAGGAGCAGGTGCCAGAGTAGGGACACAGGGACAGTAGGTTCCAGCGGACACAGGGCAGGGGTAGGCGGGGGTTGGGGGCGGATCTGGGGCCAGGGTCCTTTTAAACAGCACAGAAGGAGGGTAATCCCTCAGTAAGTCACTTCACCTGGCAGTCTGTTCAGCACAACCCTTACCTTTATGCTTATTCTGTCCTGTTCTGTTCTATTCCATGCCATTCTATCCCATCCCATCTTAAACCCTCCCTTCCCCTCCCCTTCTCTCCCATCCCACCCTGTCCTAACACACCCGCTCTAACCTAACCCATTACCCTAGCCTGCTCTGTCCTCATCATTTCACTGTATAGATTAAATGCTGGCTACTACCTGCTGGTTCCTGCCCACTGTGTGGTGGGGGTATCACATTACTACCCCTAGAAAGCTCTCTAGATCTCCCAGCTTTGCCCATACCCTCCAAAGCCCCTCCTCTTGTCACCCTGGTCCCCCAGCCCCTTTTGGAATAGGGCAGAGGAGCCAGGCTGCTGTCTGCAAGGGGCTCTGACTGGGGCTTTCCCTGAGGCCTCTGCGGGTCTTCTTTTGCGCTGGAATTTGGAGCTGTCCGAGGCTGAAGCTGCGGTCATCTCTGTCCCCACGGTGGCTCAATCCTCTGGGAGGCTGACCACACGGGGGGGCGGAAAGGAAGGGTGAGGCCAGCAGGTGGCTGGAACATTCCAGCTGCCTCCCCCCGCCGCCCCTACTCCCAACAGTCCTTCCTCCTGGACAACAACAGGAGAACTGAGGACGCAGCTGAACTGCTGCCCCGTCCCCATTGCACAGACTCAGGCTCGGGAGAGGAGACAGACCTGTTTCAGATGTCACCGCTGGGGGAATGGCCCCCAGCAAGTCAGGCTCTCCAGGCAGCCTAGCTCCAGTCCCTGCCCTGGGGCCTGGGGACCCCTTCACTCAAGGTTTCCCTACTGCAAACCTTTCTTCATGGAATCTCACCGGGAAAGTCAACTCATGGGAGAAATTCCTGGTGGACCCACTCTGGTTCAAAGAAGAGCAGGGCTACGGGTCAACAGCCACCACTCCAGGTCACACCAGGAACAGGGCGAAAGCGCAAAGGACAGCGGTCTTTCAGGAGCAGCCCATGGAGGAAGTGGCATGTCCAGCAGGGCAGTGCCTGTTCTAGCTAGTCACTACAGGATGCCACCCCACTCAGAGCAGGTACAGTGGACCTAGAGTCCCAGGTCTCCGTCTGTCCCCAGGGAAGGCACCACCACTTTCCCAGCCTCAGTTAACCCTTCTGTAGTATGGGGCACACAGACTAGTTTGGGGGTAGATGACACAGATGGAATTTGAGAACTGATAATAAGCAAGACGTGCCTCACTGTCCTGTGGACCTGGTGGCATCCAGGGGGAGCGATTTGCCCTCCCCTCTGGGTCAAGAATGGACATAAGTGAATGTCAAGGCCTTTAGGGGATGCCTGGTGCACAGGCCTGGGCAAGGATTGTGCATTGCTGCAGGTCTTGGCTCCCCCAATCCTGGGCTGGGTCCTGGCTGCCAGCGACCCCAACCTATCCTCCCTCTACCCTGGAGCTCCCATCTTACCCCGGCGGGATGGAGGCGCGTGCGCTCACGCCTGTGGAACGCTGGGGCCCGGGCCGGTTGAGGTTGTTCTGTCCCGGGACCGGCGCGCCGCTGGGGGCACTTGGGCTCCTCGGGGGTCCCGTGGGAGGCGGTGTGGGCTCAGGGGGACCGGTGGCGGGCGCGGCCCAGAGCGCGGCGCCGGCGAAGGTGGCACTGGGGCGCACGGCGAGCGTGCCCGGAGGTCCTCCAGGAGGCGGCGGCGGTGGTGGCGGCAGCGGCGGCGGGGGCGCGGGCGCGGGCGCAGGGGTCGCCTTGCGGCGCTGAGAGGCCAGGATGGCGTTGGAGGCGGCGCGCGTGCTGTTAACCAGCAGGCACTGCTGACACGAACAGGGCTGGCCCGAGTTGGCGCCCACGGGCCACGACTGCGACTTGGGGATGGAGCCGACCGTGAGCGGGTAGGCGAGGTCCAGCCGGCGGCGCAGGCGGCGGCGGCGGCGCGTCTGGCGGTTCATCTGTGACATGCTATTGAAGTAGATGAGGTAGCAGAAGCCGAGCGAGGAGAGGTCGAGCCACGGGTGCTGCTTCTCGTAGGCGTTCTGGATGGTAACGCAGATGTCCATGTCGTAGGCCGTCCACGCGCCACTGTCGTTCTCCCACTCCCACACGATCCCCTTGCCCGGCGCCGACGACGGATCGTAGAAGTTGCGTCGCACCGGACGCATGGTGCCTGCGGGGGGCGGGAAGAGGGCATCAGTGTAGGGCTGGTCCAGGTCTGTGCACACCAGGGAGCGGGCAGAGGTGGGCCGGGGACTGCACACACGTGGGAGGGGAAGAGTCGGCAGGGCCTGGCCGTTCTGGGCGCGCCGGGAAAGTGAAAGGTCAGGCTAGGGGGTGGGATGCGGGCAGGGGTCAACAGGGGCCAAGGCTGGTGGAGACCCTGCAGTCGCAGCTCTTTCTGCCTCCGCTGGTTCGCACTCATCTTGGCCCTGGCCATTTGACTTTGTTCCTTTGAGCACCGGTTCGTGTTTTCATCCAAAAGTTTTCTTGCAAGTTTATCCACTTCTTCCTGCCTTGGTTCCCACGTTCATAAAGACTTCATCCCTTCACACCTGCAGGTGCTCTGTGCAGCTCAGCCACGCTTCATTCACTCACCATTCCTCCTTCATTCATTCATCATCCCTCCTTCATTTTCCATCATCCCTACTTAGAAACCTCTCCAGCTCAGCACAAAGACTCAATGGCTAAATCCTCCCGTTAAAAGTGCCAGCATCCCATAGGGGCGCCGGTGGCTGTGGCGCTGCAGAGTACGGTGAACTCGCCCAGGAATACGTCAGCTACTCCACTTTCCATCCAGCTCCCTGCTTGTGGCCTGGGAAAGCAGAGGAGAATGGCCCAAAGCCGTGGGACTCTGCACCTGTGTGGGAGACCCGGAAGAAGCTCCTGGCTCCTGGCTTCGGATTGGCTCAGCTCTGATCATTGTGGCCACTTGGGGAGTGAATCAGTGGACAGAGATCCACAAAGAAATGTGCATCCCTGGCTCCTGAGAGTGCGTATGAACACACACAGATACTCACATGCATGCTTACACATAATACAAACTTGCCCACATGTGCACATTCACAGACATATGCACAACACACATACTACACACACAAGCACATACAATACATACCCAACACAAAATACACAAATACCTTCACGTATGCACATGCTCTCTACACTCCTATGGTCCCTCCTTTCTCTGAGTTCCCTTACACCACATCTATTTGCCCTGTGCTCTGATGTCCCCCTCAAGAACACAGAAGCCCCAGACCTGGGACTGTGGTTCCCCCTGCTCTGTCCCCAGCACCTGCACACAACCAGGACTTGGGAGTCGGTCGTTGAACAAATGATGGAATCATTAGTTCTAGCATCGACCCCCTCTGGGCAGCTGTTGCTCCTTCACAGCTCTGCCTCTCCTTGGAGCTCTCCTCGGATCACATGTGATCCACTTTACTCCCCAGCCAGGGTCCCAAGCTTGCCAACGCATCGCTACACATCAGTCCCTTGGGAACTCTGGGCGGCACAGACGTCAAGCCTCAGGCTGCAGGATTGTCAGTTTCTAGCTGTTGCTTAGGGGCGGCCTTGCAGCTGGAGCAGAACCTGCTGTTGGCTTCGCTGCACACACCTGCCGAGGCTGCACACTCTGGGGCTTCTTGGCTGTTTGCGAGGCCAAGCAGCCTCCCCAGGCCTCCGTCCCAAGTGAGGTTGGCCTTCTTTCCACCCAACCATGGAGAAGCAGCAGGAGGAATCCTGCTCAGGACAACTCAGATCCAAACCAGCCACCGCTTTCCCCAGAGCCCTCACTGGGAGCTGACCCAAAGTCCTCGGTGGGAGCCTCCAAGCCCCTGGCTGTCTACCCCTATCTCTCTCCATGACCTCTCACCTGCCCAACAACCACCCCTGCCCCCCGCCAGTCCTCAGATGCTGCCCTGCCCCTGTGCTTTTGCACTCCCAGGCTGCGAGGGGCCCGGCCATTCCTGCACGCTCTCACCTGGGTCTCTCACTGCCCTCCTGCCTTGCTCAAGGTCCTCCCTGGCACTCAGTGGGCCTTGAAGGTAACATTGCTGCATGCCCTCTGTCTCCTTCTGCTGGGCTGGCAGCCCACGGGCTGCTTTACATCCCTGGTGCCTGCACACAGTAGGTCCTCTCTACACGGTGAGTGGTAGGTGTCTGTGCCTCTTCTTGGGGTGCCTGGCCCAGAAAACTGCAGCAGGGGGCCTTCCAAGCACCCCCTCTCCCCATCCCCCCACCAGTCAGGCTGCTTCTTCCTGTCCACAGACTCTGCTCTGACAGTCCCTTACTGGTGGCACTACTCAGGCATGGACAGAGCTTGTTCTCTGTGTACAGACTACCTCTGCCAACTGCCCAGCTCTGTGTGCTTGGGAAACTGAGGCACAGAGGAGTCACGGTTGCTAAGGGAGAGGCAGGTAAAGTGGGCAAGAGGGTGGACTTGGCCGGCTGGCACCTCAGTCAGGTCCCTGGGTCCCCATGCTGTTCTAGCCAATCACAAATGGGAGGTGGGAAGGCGCCTTGGTGCTGGGTCCAGCATTTTCAATTAAGTGTGCATGCATTGATTTCCTTCCTGGTGTGCAGGGGTTACAGGGAAAACCTTGGCTCCTGGGCTGCCTCCCCACGCTGGACTCCCTTACCCAAGCTCTCATTTCCCCAGGTCCACAGGGGAAGGAACCAAAGCCCAGGGCACCTGCACATGGGACCCTTCCCAGGAAGGGAGGCCATAGGAACCTGCCTTATTTGCTCACTGTGCTCCTGGAGGCGAGCCTCGTGGTGGCAAGGGATCTTTGTACAAATCCTGCCTCCCACTGCCTCAGTGTCTTTGTCTGTAAAATGGGAGTGTTAATAACTGCCTTGAAATCATCCTGAAAGACAGAGTCAGAGAAGCTTTAGTCTAGGAACACCACACGTCACCCACGGTCCCCCTGCCCAGCCCAGGCACACTGGGTAAACTCCTATTCATCATTCAAGACCCTCTACCACCCATCTCCTGCAGCTCTGCTGCACGCCCACCCTGGCACTACTGCTCCAGGACCCAGTTTTTTTCTCTTCCCGTACTGGCCAATGATTTCTGGGAGGACAAGAACCGTGTTTCCAGCACAAGTAACAAAGCCTGGCATAGGGAAGCATCTGCAGCTGAGACGGGCAACCCACTTGGCCTGCTGGGGTGCCGGAAAATGGGGCGGGGGGTGGGGAGAGGAGGGCTTGTTCCTGAGGAGGCAGGGAGCTGGAGCAGCAGCATCGGGGGTTGGGCTTTGAGTGCAGGGAGGGTCAGGGGCTTCCAAGGTGGGTATCTGCCAGTGCTGCAGCAAAGGACTCTGGGAGCTGGGCGGTGCCAGCCTGCCCTGGGCGTCTGCCCCATCTCCAGGGTTCTATTTACCAGGTATTGATTCTCCTGCCTGTTTACTGGTAGTTATTAAAGGCGGAGTCCCTGGAGCCCTTTAGAAGTGCGATTGGAGCCTGGAGAGCAGCTGTAATTAGGGCAGCTGCCAACCCCCACTGTGCTTCGCACCCCGCAGTGCGCCCACTGCTGCCTGCCTGTCCATCTACCTCTCCAGCCCTGGGCTGGCCAGGGACCAGCCAGGGGTAAGGGCACCACAGCTAGTTCTGTAGTGACCCGCCTGGACTTCCATCTCGAGATTTCCAAGGCCGCAGCAGTCAAACCGCTCCTTGTCCTCCGCAGTGGCCTTGGCCTAGATTTGCATGCAGAACAATGGGCCTAAGAGCGGGGACAGCTTGTGAGTCGGCCAGGTCCTCGGGCTGGTGGCCCAGGGGCAGGGCTGGCTATGCTGTCTCGGTGACCACGAGGGTCTGTGTGGCACGGCCGGGAGGAGCCAGGGTCAAGTGCACGCACTCTGGGGCCTGTGTTTATAGCTGCTGCTGCTCTGCAGCCCCAGATTTGGGAGGTTGTTTGGAGGAGGGGAGACACGAGGCAGACTCAGGAAAGTTGTAGTTATAGACGCAGAGGAGGAAAGAGGACGAGGGACCAAGAGGCCCAGCCAATCGTTAGGTAGCAGCAGAGTCTCAGAGGGCTGGGGAGGGGAGAAGCTGGGCAGGTGGAAGCCGGCCAAGGCAGCTGCGGCAGCACAGCTAACCCCCTGACACCTGTCGCTAGCTGAGTACCAACTGTACCAAGAACCATGCTCTGCACTTGCCTCGTGCTCCCTTCCACTGCTGGAATGGTTCCCGTTCTACAGACAAGGAACCTGAGAGGCCGAGGGCAGAGGTCTACTCAGCTCATCAAGGAAGCCCCAGGCCCTCCTGGATCGAAGGGTTTGCCTTTAGCCGGGAGGTGACCCCAGACGGCAGAGAATTCCCTGTGGGGAAGGGAGCCTCCTCCCTGCCCACACACAGCCCGACCCGAAGCAGTCCTCCTGGTCCAGGCCAACACTGAGCACAACGCTCCCATTTCCCTCCCTCCCTTTGGGGGTGACCTCCGGACGGAAGTGATCTCAGCGTAGGGACACCAGGCCCTGACGGGAAGGAGGATTCTGGGAGGAGGTCACGGGACATCCTGTCAGGTGGGGGAGTCCTGTGATTGGGCTGGGGTGGGAGTTACCCATGGCACCGCTTGGATGCTCCACCCCAAGGGAGTAAGGGCACCGGGCAGAATTCTCCTGCATCCCTACAGTAATGCTGGACATTCTAGCCCCTTCCCCAGCTGAAGGGAATTCACGTAATCCTCACACATGCCACCCTCCCTCGCCCTCAGGGACAGCATTAACCCTTGTGAGAGGGGAGGAAGGAGAGGCGAGGGCCGAGAGAAATCACGAACGCATCCACAGTTATCCGTGACTTAAGTGGATCAGCTGCAGCCCAGACCCAAAGCTGCCTGGCTTGGGCTGCCGATGCTTCACTCATTGCTCTGCTTGCCTGAATCCATGTTCCAGAGGGGGGAAACTGAGGCACACAGGTGCGCAAGCAGCACAGCTGAAGTTCAAAGCCCCAGACTGCACCCTCAGAGGTCTTGGGGGAGGAGCAGCTGCCTTCTCTCCAGACTCTTCCCCTCTCACAGTGACCCCAGGTGCAGTAAGCTCATCCACGGTGCCTGCTGCTGTGTGAATGTCTCCTGCGCATACTCATGGCAGCCCCGGGATGGGCATTCGTGTGAGTCGAGCCTTACACTGTGGGGTTGGAAGAATGGCACGGAAGGCCAGCAGGGGTGCTGGCCTA